TTCCTTCCTTAATCACTTTAGTGTCAAAAATTGTCTAAACAACACCAGTTTTCGTTAAAAATTAAAAATAACGGAAATTCAGAAACAGCCCATAAAAAACAGATACGACTACATACGTATGTGGAACCTGGTAAGCAAAACCTGAAATCGCTGAATCTTTTCTAATGATCATTTGTGTATCGTTCAGAGACCACATCGCAACTAACGAGGTTTGTCGAATCATCACTCAGCAGTGACAACAATGAACCTCTTTTTACCACAGTGAAAGATGGAAAATACGATGGTGCGAACAGGTACCAAGATCTGCCGGCCTCCGTCAGAATGATTCTGCAGCGTTATGTAGTGGAAGAAATGACGTGCAGCAAGGCAGACTAAGAAAGACCTGGATACAGAATTTGACTGACTGGACAGATCTCAAACGTGCAAACATCAAGCCCGTTGCATCTTACCGACAGAGATGAGACAGTCAACGGCAACGGGTGACCCAACCACATGCTGCGTTACGGCAACACGATGATGATAATGAAGATAATGATTCCGAAGAAGGACACCAAAACAGGCTCCACATAACACTTTAGTCTCACATATAATTTTATTAGTAAATTTTTAAACAAAAAAAGTACAACAGATCAAATGTTCGGTATTAGTTTAACACAACCACACAGCCATTATCGACTCGTGCAAAACTATTCTGGACCCAAAGACCGGACGCAAGGAGCATCGTCTTCGTGCTGTGCAACTGGCCATTAAGGCTCCAGCTACAACTTCAAATCTCGCTAGAACAATAGAGACTCCACTCCCGGAGCATCCCTGCAGTTGTGTTGCTTTATCACAGGATGACTTACAATATTACATCCTATGAAGAGACACATCGTGAGACAGAACAAAGGACATTTTCTCAGTGATGTTTCCGATAGCAAAGACTTCCGGGATAAAGAAATTAAGACGTTGTCATTTCTAACGACATCCATTGTCTTGTGTGTGTGTTTTTTTTTTTTTTTTTAAATGTTATAATCTGTTACTGCATCTTGTCAATAGTTTACAAATAAACCTGATTCTCTCTGTTAAGAAGCAGTTTCATGAAGTAGTGAAGTAACTGAATGACATTTGCGTGGGGGATAGACCAGGTACAGTAACAAGCTGGTAGTGTCGATGTCAGGCATCATGCTGGGCTTCAATGGTATAAAGTAATGCCGCCAACCTTTCACACCAACAGACAGCCAGAACATATTGGAAGAGCAGAAGAGCAAGGTAGAGCATTACCTCTTCAAATACAGGCATATTGCCCGTAAGTTGCAGTTCTGATTCATGTTGTCAGTATATTTATTTTCATTAGTTAGTTAGTTAGTTAGGTAGTTAGTTAGTTAGTTAGTTAGTTAGTTAGTTAGTTAGTTAGTTAGTTAGTTAGTTAGTTAGTTAGTTAGTTAGTTAGTTAGTTAGTTAGTTAGTTAGTTAGTTAGTAGTTAGTTAGTTAGTTAGTTAGTTAGTTAGTTAGTTAGTTAGTTAGTTAGTTAGTTAGTTAGTTAGTTAGTTAGTTAGTTAGTTAGTTAGTTAGTTAGTTAGTTAGTTAGTTAGTTTGTTAGTTGGGTTATCATCATTGCACTCCGCACATGTCCATAGGTGCTCAGATCCTCCCCTCAGTATGAACCCCAACGTCCGATGGCTAATGGTACCAGTTCTATGTTGATTAACAAGTCTCTGGCGTGTCTGGTGTGCGTCTCGTTTTTTAATTCCCAAGTCTGCCATTCTGGCGAGTGATGTGGATTTACTGCCCCCAAAGTCCTCTACCCTTCCCATTTCTCTGAGGGAATTAATAATATCAGCATGATCCAAAGGCTGACCGTCGGTAGTGATAGCGGATCCAGTCAACCTGTCAGCTCTTTCATTTCCATCGACGCCTGCGTTTCCCGGAACAAAAATAATGTTGAATCCACGCACAGTGGACTTCTGTAATGATTCAAGCCATTGTCTTCGCACCGAACCTGCCTGAACCCTCCGGATTATAGACTCATTGAATTCATTTTCATTATCAGTGGTAATCAAGACAAGATCACAAAACACTGAGATTTGGAAAGAACATGTATTGCAACAGTTTTCTCAATGACCAGTCTCTCACGGATCAGGTGGCTGGGTCACACTTCGTCAATGAAGGACGGTATCGAGTCCCTAAGCACATCTTCTATGGCGAATACAGATGGGTAGAAGATGTCAAGGTAGGTTTCTACATCGATATCGATATCAAGATATATTCAAGCCAGATATGAACGACACAGGTAATGGGGTAGATTCCTGGCACCGGGACGCCATGGACCGTGTTGCATGTTGGGATGTGGAACGGGGAAGTAAGCAACGGGATGATGGTGAAAGGACATAATGACAGTCGACGAATTATGAGCTGAATGTCTGAAAAAAAGCACATTAAATACTTGTGTCGGGAACTTCTTCTTTCTTTTGTCAATATCTACTTATGCCGCAGTAGTCACAATAGTACCAAAATCTCCAGTTCTAAGTGTGGAAGATTCTTGTTTGTGCTGGACAAGTCCACGAGAAAGAGTGGGCGTTTCTCCAGAGATTTATAGCACAGACTAATTAGATCCCTGATGCAGACGTCAAGGTTGCAGCTAGAGAGAATTTATCTGGCACCTCAGTACTAGAACTCTGCGCTGGCTTCTGAAGATGGGGAGGGACAGTTTATATCACAATATAATACTATCGTCTGGAAGACAGAAAGCAGCCAACAATCATAATCATTTCTATACAGTTGATCCCTCCTAAAATGGATACGAGGAAATATTATGGGCAGGAAAAACGACCAGGATGGTGTTTGGGACATTGTCCGCCAAGTGTAAGCTGGTCTGAAAATGAGTCCTTAGCTTTCTCCATTATGTCTTTGAAAAAAAGATTCGATAGTTCAGAAACCAACGTGCCGCTCTTCTGGCTCCTAAAAAAAACAGTAAACGCATTTTAAAAAGTGAAATAAATGATCATTTTCACTCGTTTTGGGCAAATAGGGCTAGACCTATAATTTATAGACCAATTAGGCACTCAGCATCACACCAGACGCCTTTACCATGTATTGACCTAGTAAGGCATTTAAGGCTTGGTCTACCTAGCAGCCTAGACCATTTTTTTTAAAGAGTACGGCACCGTTCGAAATCGAACCCAAGACCTTCGAATCCGCTGGCAAGCATCTAGCTAGACGCTTCACCACGGCGGTTGCCATTTATAGCGTATCCAAGGAGATACACCTGAAAACAATGTCCCATATGCTACTTTGACCCCATCGCCGATCGAGTTCCGGTTGTCACGCCAGCCGCCTTTATTTCATATAGCATTACTTATACATATTTTAGGCATGGTCGACCTGGCAGCCGACTCGGATTTGAACCCACGATTTCCGGACATACAGGCGAGCATCTTCTTCTTCCTCCTTTTATCCCCAGTGGAGCATAGGCCACTACCAACATACCCTAATCCGTCCTATTATTTGCTGTCACATGCAGTTCACCCCAAGTCATCCCATCTTTTCACTAATTCCCTTATTCGTATGTGTTTGGTGGACCTTTATTTCTATGCCTCTGTGTGTTCCCAGTGCAAAGACATTATAGTTACATTGTTCTCAGGTTTTCTCAGCGTCTGTACGCCAGCGTCTTTCTTCACCTCATGAGTCACCGAAAGTGGTTTTGTTCTATCCCAAAGCTAAACATTAGTGATTCTATGATTCCATTTTATTCATTAAGTTCTGCGCAGCAACTTGATTCTCATACCGTTTAATTCCTTCAATTCAGCGCAGCAACGAGTTAATGAATGTTTGTAGCTTATTGGTAATTGTTTCCGTTGTTTAAGATTCTGCTCCAAGCAGCAGTACTGTTTTGACATTATTTTGTTTCTTAAAGAAGAAACATAGAAATAGCCTACATTATTATACTGATTTAAGGCTAAAGGTGTGAACTATAAAAAAAATATAAATAAGGAACTGCATTTTATAAAATGAAGAACATCTTATGCAATGTATCTCTGTCATTGAGGGTTAGAAAAATAATTATTGCTTGCTACATACATCCAGTTTTAACATATGGCTATGAGTCTTGAACAATCGGAATCTGGCCAAACAATTTCTTGAGGTCTCAGAGATGTGGTTTTACAGAAGAATGCTGAGAATACCTTGGACAGCCAAAAAGAGCAACCAAGAGGTTTTGAAAGAGGCGGGAGCCCGAAGACAACTTATTACAGACATCGGAAGGAGACAGTCATCATTTTTCTTCCATGGTATGAGAAGAGGGAAAATGGAACATGTTGTGACCCCTGGAAAGATCTGTGGAAGGAGGGATAGAGGACGACGAGAGAAGATTCTTGACAGTCTTGTTGCATGGCATGAACGTGTGTCAGCATACGAACTGATACATGCTGCAAAAGATCGCGGATTGTGGAGAGGCCAGGCACCTGATGATGATGTATAAGGAATTATTCGAAACTAAAAAAGACATGACTTCTTCTATCATATTTAAATTCGGTTAGCAGCCTTGACTTTTAAACTCTACTTATCTGTTATAAATGAAGGTTTGTGTAAATGTGTTTTTTAATATGACTTGAAACGCACATAAAACTGGAGAATTGACAAACGAAAGAGACTTCCAAAAGTGAAGTGAAGAGAGCGATGTTCTAACAAGGAAATGCTCGTTGATAGTGATTGAAAAGTATGGGCCTCATGGTTAGTTGCGTATCCTTTACATGACGTTGCAGGACCAACTCCAACAGCCCCTGGCTGTGGGCCTTATAGCAGACCGAAAAAGAAGAAGGAGCCCAAAAGTGTTTTCCTAACTGGGGACTAGGGTTCTGAATAATTCACATCCATTCTACCGTTGCTCGATTGATAAATGCATTTTGCATCTCTCACAGATCTCTGTCTTCAGCATCTTTAGCAGACGGCAACAGCTCGCTGTCCCACGCCAGTGTCCAGAGCCTACATCAGCAGTGCCATCAACCGAATCTTCTTTGCCATGTCCAGAATTATCATGATGTTTGCCATTCTTCTAGTGGCCTCTCACTTGTCCTCTTCTGTGATTCTCAGACCAAAGTGGTATCCTTACTTCAGGAGGGACAACCAAGGTAATACAAATTACGGTAATCCGTGAATTGTTTGATAACATGTTATTTCAGCCAGAAAAGATGGCGATATATTGGACACACCATGAGAAGAAACGTGCAATTAATTAACAAACAGTTAAATAAAGGATGAGTTATGAGTTAGATTATCTACACAGCACTCTAAACGCATCCATAGGCGCTCAGATTCCCATCTCAACATATACAACAGCGTCGCGCGGTTAATAGTGCCAGTCCTAAGTTGGTTAACAAGACATCGTGTGCGTCCGGTGTGCTTCTCATGCTTTGCTGTGCCGATCTTTACTCTCAATTCTCATATTCTTAGCAGTAACGTGAACACGTTGCTTAAAAATCCTCAGAAGGTCCAAACTCTCTCAAGGCAATGAAAATGTCTGCGCGATCATTGGCCGGAGAAGAACGGGTGAAGAGATTTTTAAAACGGGGACGTCCAAGAGAAACTCTAAAGCGAAAGTTGATGAGAGAAGGTAAAAGTGTTTGGATTGGATTGTATCCATGTTATCGAAATGATAGCACAGAATACAAGGGAATGGGAAAATGTAATGTGAGTCCCATGTCTTCTTCTTTTCTTCTTCTTCTTCTTCTTCTTCTTCTTCTTCTTCTTCTTCTTCTTCTTCTTCTTCTTCTTCTTCTTCTTCTTCTTCTTCTTCTTCTTCTTCTTCTTCTTCTTCTTCTTCTTCTTCTTCATTTTCTTCATCTTCTTCTCTTCCACCGTGTACCTCATCGAAGCATAACATTCGTTGATAAGCTCTGTCAAGAGCACTATTAAGACTGATGTTTATTTCTGCAAGACTGTTCTTAATGCCATCACTCCATATTTTCCGAGGTCTTCCACTCGCTCTATACCCGTTGTAACGTTTTAGTGTGGCTCGCTGTGGCAGATAGTACCAGGGCATTCTTGTTAGGTGTCCAAACCACTTCATTTGTTGTTCTTTGATGACCTGTAAGACTGGCTTTATTTCTAGCATTCGTCTGATTTCATGATTTCGTATTCTGTCTTTCCTTCAAACTCCTGCAGCTCTTCTAAGGCATTTCACAGCGTCCTATGTGACATATAAAAAGGTATAAAACCAAACGAAAAGTATATCAGCGAGCTTTACAATATAACAAACACAAAATAAACACAAACCTTGCGGCTATAAATCAATCAAATAAAACAAAATTACACAAATGTACAAAATCATTTAACTGACGTATCCCGAAGCAGCCACGTTGATGTCTTGCCAGTGGAATGAAGAAACATGTTAGGCCCGATAATAAAATAGCCGCGGAATGCCAAGGGCCGTAACTGAATTTAATGGCGGTCATCTCCAGGACGTGAACACCTTAGTGATCCTGGGAATTGGAGTGCAATAGTACAGATTCCAGGGCACCGTTCTGCACATCCAAAAGATGTCTGACCTATGGTACATAAAATGGAAATACTTAAAATTAATAAATCTTTTTTCCTTTTCAATCTATTCCTCCACTGTTGTCTTGTCCCGTCTAGTTGCTGCTTCTCTGGGCTTCTACCTGAAGCTTGACCGTCCTGAGAGTCATTGCATTCATTATAATCTTCTTCTTCTTCTTTAGCTTCTTCTTCTTCATCTTCTTCTTTTTCACTTTCTTTTTCTGCATCTTCTTCTTCTTCTCCAACTCCTCCACTCCTCCTTCTCCTTCTTCTTCTTCTTCTTCTTCTTCTTCTTCTTCTTCTTCTTCTTCTTCTTCTTCTTCTTCTTCTTCTTCTTCTTCTTCTTCTTTTTTCTTTTTTCTTCTTCTTCTTCTTCTTCTTCTTCTTCTTCTTCTTCTTCTTCTTCTTCTTCTTCTTCTTCTTCTTCTTCTTCTTCTTCTTCTTCTTGTCAGTATCTGCTTTGTCCAACAAGGCCTCGCAGTTTAACAGATAGTAGGTAGTCGAGCAAATCCGCGCTGGGTTGCTTTATTTGCTATGCTGTTGTGAAGGCAGTCACTGACTCCTTTAATCCATATTCTGGGTCTCTCTAACGTCCTTGTTTCCCTTTTCATACCTCGCGCTCTCGATAACTGCATTGTGGAATTCATTTTTTTTTTTTTTTTGGTTAGAGTAACACAGGATCTCTGTAACATATAATGAAATGAGCCGTTGAGCTGAGATGGGAATCAACATAACAGAGTTCCAGTTGCCATGGTACCAGTAGCATCCTTATTCCTGAGGTTTTGGGTTTGAACAACGGATCAACGGGTAGTAACCTATAAGTGCTTCGTTCTTCTGTTAACTCAAGTCTGAGTCCGAAGAAGCTCAGCACATTGCACATGCTCTGTAGTACCGGCGACGATCCCGAAATACTTTGGGTAGATTTTTTTTTACTCCAAATTTTTGCCTGGGCAGCGACGTTAAGCTACTCTTTTTTGTTTTGCAACTGCTACGGGATTTTTTACGTTCGCAACAATGCAGACGGGCGTCCGATCTCACTACCCAGAGACCAGGGGGGGAATTACTGGAAGTCCAAGTCCACGTGCAAAACTCCTACCCCTTACCGATGATTGAACCCTGAACCTCTAGCATTCGAGGCGGACACCATGCCTCGAGACCACGCTGCCTCACCCCCCCCCCCCCCCCCCCCCCGCATCCTTATTATGTGTCCGACTGCCCTTTCTTCTGGTAACTGAGAACAGAATCAATGTTCGACTGTAAACATTAACATCATTAACTACAACTATTGGTGGGGGGGGGGGGGGGGGGGGGGGGGGGGGGGGGGGGGGGGGGGTTTACAGTAATCAAAAGTACATCATATAAACACATTTTTGGGCGGACAGGCGGGTAAATTTTGCATTGCTAGTGTATTCTCGTGTGGGTTCTTGGGCCCGAATGTGGGAAAAAAATATCCACTGCCTCCGCAACAAGCATGTCGTAAGAGTCGACTTATTTGTGGTTTCCTTATAAATTGGAGTGCGTCTGCCTGAGAATGCAAAGAAGCAACAATCTGTAAACAGTTAAGTCAGACATGTTAAACGGATGCGCACGCAACACTCAAGTTCTGGAACAGGACCTAAAGTTCAGAGTTGGACACAACCAGAACTTTCCCCCGGAGATTACAGCAGGTGAAGGCGAAGAAGAAGAAGCAGAATATTTTTACTTTAATAGACACTGTGTGCAATACCGGCACCTTTTAGGACACTGTGTGGTGAATACCGGCACCTTTTAGGACACTGTGTGGTGAATACCGGCACCTTTTAGGACACTGTGTGGTGAATACCGGCACATTTTAGGACACTGTGTGGTGAATACCGGCACCTTTTAGGACACTGTGTGGTGAATACCGGCACCTTTTAGGACACTGTGTGGTGAATACCGGCACATCTTTTCTGAAAAAAAAAATTCCTGACTAAATCTGCTTTTATTTTCTTGTTTCAAATCCAGAAAATGGAGCTGGCACCGGACAACAGTCTGTCCTGGCCACAGAAGCTCTAGCCAGACAAATTCGCAACCCGGAGATGGAGGTAGTTTCTGTTTGTCAGAACGGAATGACCACTGATGAATGCGTAGACAAGATTGCAGCTGTTGTGGGCAAAATTCTACAACTCAGCAATCAGAAATATTTATTGTACTGACCTCTGACATAAATATTAATAAAACGGTTTCTGTTTATGGAGAATTTCGAGAGACAGAGCGAGGTAAATTTAGAAAACAAACGAGAAACACGGGGTGGTGTTTAGCCATCATATTCTGAACCTTATTTGGTGTCAATATGTTTAAGTAACCATAGTAGATCCCCCAAAGTTATTTTTTTTTTTCATGCTTGTAAATTTTTTTTTAACCCACCCTTTTGGGCATATACTCGTAATAAACCACAGTATGTTTTATTTGAGGAAAACTGCTGAGGAAATCTGTAGCAGTAAAATGTGGTGAGACTTGTTATTTTTTTTTTTAAACGCCCCCTCCCCGCACCCCTTTTCCTTTCCGCTTTTGCAGGATTGCAATCTGTAGAATTAATATGTCAAGGCTGAGACACACAGAGGGGCAAGTCTAGAAAATCTCTGTACAGCAGCATTATTAGAAAGTAATATTTGGTCCATTCTTGCTGGGTTTACTGACTGACTGACCTTCTACCCCACTAGGACATCACACAAGCGATAAACACCCGATGACACAAAGTGCCACCATGTGGATGAGGATCGCCGTGGAGAGGTCCCAGAAACCGTGTTCAGACAATTGGCGATATTTATGGCCTGCCTATATTGCGGCCCCTGGAAAAAGCCAGGGTGGGGCTTCAAATAACAACAAATTTTGTCACAAAAGGACGGGGGAAAAAAAGCTGGGTTTACCATTGGCGCTTAGATATTATTCTTCCCAAAACACACCCCTAAATTGGTTACTTAATTTTGCATTTTTGTTTAGGAATAGGTACTAAAAAGAGAAAACTGTGCAGGATGTGGCGGATGATTGCCAGACGGGTGTATCGGACGCGGGACATCTTGCTTTTGATCGAGATGTTTTTCAGAAGGTTGTTATGGGAGTCAAGTTCTGCAAAGACATGCTATGACTTCCTGAATGGGTATTGAATCCTAGAGGACTTGCAGGTCTCTGTGTTTCGTGCATACGTTATGTCTATTGAAAACAGACAACCTAAACGAGAAGGGGAACTAATAAGCTTCACAATAGCCTAATCGCGCACGACAAAATGAAGTTGCGGCTAGAAAGCCGTCATCATCATAAAAACAAGTAGTAAACCATGGTATTTTTAAAATGGGTAGGTTTGCAGTCTCTGAACAATCCAGACGTTGCCGTATTTAGGCATACGCATCATGTGAAGCTGGACATGGGGTAATTTAGGGGAGGCAAAACTAGCAGTAAAAGGTTTTTCTATTTTTACTGCTGTTATCATTATGAATCAAGTTACAAACCAAGAAACTCTAGACAGTATGATAACGAAGAGAAAATGGAAATGGCTTGGCCATGTTATGAGCATGAATCCTGATATACTGCCAAAACAGCTCTCACATGGATACCAGAGGGAAAGAGAAAAAAGGGGCGCCCAAAATCAACATGGAATCGGACTATGGGAAGTGACCTGAGTGCGGCATTTCTGACATAAAAAACTGCACGGAAGGTTACACAGGACAGGAGATTGAAAGTCATCTCTGAAGCCTCATTTGTACCACTAGGCATAAAGAGAATTGATGATGATGATATCATTATGAAATCAGCATTTGATCGGCGTTCTAGCGGTAAAACAGTTTAAATCATGAATGGCCATGTAAACGAATAGCAATAGGTAAGTTTACTTGAGGGAAAATGGTTGGGAGAGGTTAGTGACGTAGTTAAAATAAGTCTGCACAGTGGTGTCACATGTCCTAATATAGACCTGAAGCCGTATGTAGATAAAGTAACTATTTTTTAAAAAGACTTTCTGTCAAAAGTAGCGTGTTGTTTTGGTGATATTATTTTAAAGTTTTACTCAGGCACAAGCAAAACAAAACAACAAAAGCTTTGGTATAATGTATTTTCTCCAGTGCTTACATCCACTTTAAGAGTGAAGTGCTTTTGTTACTGTTGTTCGAGCATAGTTTATACTGGGGTTGTACCGAATATTCGCTTCGTATTCGTTCGGGGCCGAATAGTGGACCTATTGACTATTCGGTATTCGGCCGAATAGTTGCTGTCGTGCCGAATACGAATAGTAGTTACCTTACACCCGCTTCTGCATACACGGCCTTAATGCTGACAAACATGGAACGATTAGTTTTGTTGAGAGCTAATGCAGCTTTCCTGCATTAACTAAGCTGTCAGTGACAATTTCCAAGTTTAGTTACTTGTTATAATACTTAGGATTCTTTCATTCCTAGTTAATAGTTGCCACAGACTGACTGAGGGTTTTAAAACATAAAATGTTTTTAAATGTTTACTATTCTGTACGAATACTAACTAGACATGGAAAGAATATAAACTCCGGCCACATCCAAATCGATAATATGAAAATCAAACGAACGGAAACCTATAAGTACTTGGGGGCAAACTTCAACTGCTCCAACATGCTGAGAGAAGAAATACAACCTAAAATACAACCTCGAAATAAAGTAAACTATGCCCTTCAACATCTACTTAAGTAAAAGTGTCTGTCTCGCAACACCAAGATCAAAATGTTGATAAGACCAGTCGTTTTATATGGCATTTGAAGCAGAAATAAAAGGGATGAGGCCTTATTACAGGTTTTCGAAAACAGACTTACAACAAATCTTTGGACCCATCAAAGATGCCAACAGCGGGAAATGGAGAGTGAGAAGCAACAACGTAACACATAATCTGTTTAAATCTTCATTGATCACTGGCATCATGAGAGCTAACAGACTAAAATGGTTGGGGCATATTGAAAGAATGCCAGATGACAGAGAAGTAAAACTGTATACACCTGAAAGAGCAATGGGGGTAGACCCCGATGCAGACAAAAAAAGAAGTTCGAGAGATAATGTCCAGCCAGACCTCCAAACAACTGGTGTCACAAATTGTGAAGATAAGGCCAACCAGAGAGATAAATAGAGACGAATGATATCTGCAGCAGTCTTCTTCTTCTTCTTCGATCCTTCTGTCAGAAAACTTATATCAAGAGGCCGGTAGCCTTTATGAAAGCTATCGTGCAATCCATATCCTCTCGTGTACCATACAGTTTTGTCTTCAGTGTGGTTGGAACAGGCCCGTCTCCGTATTTCCTACACCAAAAAATTTGAACATATGTTGACGAAATCTGTTGTGCCCTGTCCTTAGTCTGAATATAATAGACTGTCCCTCTCTAGAGAGGCGATGAAGTGAGTCTTGGGGAGAAAATCTGGTATGGGTATCCAGCCACCTTTCTTGGATACTAGATTGTATTAGTGTTTTCATCTCTTGGTGAGTTAAGTCGCTATTTGGTTGTACCATGTCACTGCCGCTTCTGGCTAATCTGTCCGCTATTTAATTGCCTTCCAAGCCACAGTGACCTGGACTCAAGAGCTCATAATGCTAAAGAAGAAGATGACTATTCTGTGCTACTTTATATGAAGTAAAGATTCAGCGTACATTTGACATTATGAATGTGTGTTTTTATTTTTTTTAATTTTTTTTTTTTAGATGTATTTTACACACTATTTGTATTCGTATTCGGCCGAATAGTTGGTCCCGCTATTCGTTTTCGGCCGAATAGTGAAAATCACTATTCGGTACAGCCCTAGTTTATACATCCTGTTAACTGTGAATTTGACAATTTGGAACTCAAATTATTAAAATGTAGGTAAACATAACTTATTGCTGTTTAATGACAATATGTTTTGCCAAGTAATTAAAATTGAATAATAAATGTGTGCAGAAGGCCCTCGACCAGCGAAATAAATATTTTTCTGACAGCTTTCACGTCTTATTCTTCGTCATCCTCATATTAATTATGTTCCGTTTCTCTTCTGTTTACACGTAGTTGTTTTTACTCTTCGTCTCTTTGTTCTCCGCCCCTCCTGGTAATCCCCTTTCTACCTTTTTTGCCCTTTTATCTTGTTTTTCTTTTGTTTCCTTTGTTGTTGTGTGTGTTTGTGTGTGTGTGTGTTTTTTTTTTTTTGAAGGGGTGGGGGGGGGGGTATGTTATGTTATTACATACAACGTCTTTGCACATTGGGCATTTCTATTGTGCTCTATCCTCAAATGCAGCAACCACTCTAAGGTACCTCTACTGATTTTCTTTCCATGAGAAGTAGGTTATGGTATCTCCGGTCTTGACCTCAAAGATGGCATAGACGTGCTTCACCAAGCCTAACTTCAAGGTCATTCAATAGTGTTAGTGTGAGAGATTCAACATTATCAGCTCTATCCATGCTTCTCTCGTTTGCAATGGTGCATTACTAGCCAGCTTGTCAGCTCTTTCATTGCCGTTTAATGTCTGCAACGTGGGATATTTTCCCTGATTAAGAAGGTTGGGGGGAAACTCGACAGGCAACAGAAAACAGAGAGAAGCCAAATACTCGGAGAAAACGAGGTTCTCAAGAAGGAGAGAAGACCACGCGTTGCCACGTGGAGCCCAACACCTGGCTATAAGATCAGACAACGTTCTGATTAGACAGTGTGTGTTTTCCAGTCAGAGTGAGAGGACGTGTTTGTGATTCCGTATGAATGTGATGAATACCTGACGACGAAAGAGAACACTTCAAGACGACAGCTCGAATATCATCTTCAGCAACGAACCAGCTATGCAGATAATCAGCAGCGACACAGAGTCAGCGGCGAGAGACCACGAGGGAAACGGCCGAAGTCACCTGTCCAGAGATGGGGGCGTGGAAAATGGAACACTACCGCGTGCTTGTATGTGAATGCTCGGAGTGTTGACGTCTGAATACGGCTGCGATTGAATGTTGGTCTTGGTGAGGGATTAAGGACTGGGACTAGACATATTATTGAGTTAATTATTGTCAATAAACATTGGTATCATTGAGATGTCTCTTTGCTTATAACATCTGTGTCGACGTACATTGTTGGTTATACCATCTGTTAGAGCACACCTCTAGACAACAGCCAAAGACACAAGCAAAGAAACATCGCAATTTCCATGTATGTAGATCCAGAGGATGGAGGCTAACTGCGACTTTCAAATGGT